TTATTCACTACACTACACTGGCTGTCAGTGTAGTGTAGCTTTCATTTGCTACCTGAATATTAATAGATTTTCTGGTATTCTGATACAGCTACGATGCATTTACTTTTATAAAGTACATCAAGTTGACTGTGTGAGAAGACTGTAACATGAGAAATATAATATTGTTTTCCGGTAGAATCATGCAAATTCCAAGTAAATTAGTGTGTTTGTGTGGACAGAATTGGCAGGATTGTAGACACTCACTCAGCATTTGACGATGGTGTCCCAAATCCTGATCCGTAGCTCTGCTGGTACAGTAGGAGTGACATCACCAGCACCAGTAGACAGCTGCTGATTAAAGAGTTTTGTTGCAGTGTTAGGTCGCATGTGACTCTGTCTCATTATGCACAACCTGAAATTGTAGCAAGACGTTTTCAACTACAGTAAATGTAATCTGCTATTGCTGGTGACATCACTCCTGCTATGTCAAAAGAGTGACACAACAGGATGCTGCCCGATATGCGTTACAGTATGTGCCATCAAGTCACTTTGGATTCATTACGACCCTGTGGCTTAATGATTTTCAAGATGTCTTATTGTTAATAGGTCTCTACAGGGCTTGCTGACGAACAGCTGTGGCTTCCTTTATTGAGTTCTTCCATCTTATATTAGGTTGTACTCCTTCTCTACTGCCTCTCATTTTTTCTAATATTATATAATTTTCCATTAAGCCTTGACTTCTTGTGATATGCACAAAGAACAATATTCTCAAGATTATTCCTTTTAGCATCGAATCAGGCCTGGTTTGATATAGGGTCCACTTATATGTCCTTCTGGTGGCCCACAGAAAAAGTGCTCAAAATAATACTAAAAATAGGTAATTCACCACATTTTCATGATGTTTCATCCCATGAAATCACATCATCTGCCACATTTTAAACTTAAAACTTGACTAGCTGGAAGTAGAAATATCATCTTAACACAGGTTAATTGAAAGACCCTCTAAGTTGTTAAATGCTTGTTTATTAGGAGTGAAGATTCTCATATCCCAAAACAACAAATCCCTACATCGATGGACAGATTAGAAGGCTGTTACCCACACTGCCCTTGCAATAGAATCTGAAAAAGGTCTGCTCCCTTAACTGAGCTCTACAACAGAGTCAGCGTGGAACACTAATTCCACATTCAACAGTGGTGATTTCAGCCCTGGTTTGGTATCTGTGAGGTGGAAACTCCACTCCTCTGGCAGGTTAGCATTCTCATTGTTCAACAAAAAGATAATCAGAATTAAATTTCTTCCTTGAAAACATTTGCCACAGAACATATTCAGGCTCCCCGCCTTGAAGTATAAACACTGGAAGCATAAAATCTGATATTCACTCACAAGGGGGCAGCTGGTACTTTCAGAACTTATGAGGACCTGAATAGCCATCATGCACTTTGTGCTCCTTCAGGTCTACTCACTTCCCATTTTCCTCATGCTTCCACATATACTTGATAGTTCTGCAGCCTTCTTAATTTTAACAGCTGTTAAAGACTGGAAAGATTAACGCTCTCTCTGCCTTGCACAGCACTGTACGAATGAAGCTGATCACACTGTAGATTTATTATTCTCAAATGTTTGTTTAGGCCCTTGTAGAAAAAGCCTCCAGAGAAAACACACTGTAAATTCCTTGGCACAGCTGCTGGTTGAGGGTAGGTGGGGGACAGACAGGATTTGTGTCCAAGGTCCGAACCTAAGACAAACAGGTTTTTTTTTCCAGCTTAGTTTCCCCTCCCCACCCAACATCTCACAGTATCATCTATCCCTCCGATCACACCCGTGACTTCCACAGGTCATTCGAAAGATTCACAGTATATTGCAGGAGAGAAAAAAATAAGGATCAAGAGTATGCGCTGTGAACCAGGAACCTTCCAGTTCAAATAAAATCCCACCTCTGGCAGATCTTCAGAAGTGTATTTAAATAATGGTATTCTTGGGGTTTTTGCCATGAGCAATGGAATGCCCTTTCATTGTTATCTTTTTAATTCCTTGACATCCGCCTAAGCCTTAAAAGAATGTGCCCTTTGCCCTATTGCTACTGTTAATCTTTAATTTTGAAAGCAAGTGGGTTAACAGGGCAAAGAATGGACTATGATTCTGGGTAGCTAAGAAGCAACTAAACTGCAAGAGTCCTTACGTTCTCTTGGAAAACTCAAAAAGAATGTTACAATATATGTTGACCCAGTAGAGGGCAGCAGCAAATTGGGTACATTGCAATAAAGACCCCTACAGGTAGGTGGCAGTAAAAAAGATTCTAGTAGCTTTTGGGGGCGTTTTCATCTTAAATCCAACAGGAATTCAAACGCCCAATCACCACTGCTAATGTTAACCAAAACCTCTGATATTAGCAATGATGAAAGAAATAAGCACTCCTAGCTGTGATTTCATCCAGTGAAAATTACATACAGCACAGGTTCTTCACAGCAAAGCTTACCAAATGTCTGTTTCAAGCAGTCAGCAGCAGAGTAATTCAACTCTTATAGACTTATTAGCAACATGATGACCAGCCATTTCTTTAATCGTTACTCCAAAAAAGAAAATAATGGTTCCTATTCTCAACCTCCTTTCCAGATCAGATCTGTACTTAGTGGGATTCGAGTGCTATGTTATGTTCAGAGTGACTCAGCACTATGGATAGAAAAATTCCCTTCTAAAACCGCAATTCCCAGGGTTCCCCAACCAGCCAATTCCCAGGACCCCCAACTGCTCCTCCCAAAGCTATTCCTCAGTCCTTACTCATTAAGTATGGTGATGGCCCAATGCCTGGCTCTGAAGTTTTATCAGAGTGAGCCACTACTGTATAGGTAAGATGTGATACAGCAAAGCTGATGCACTGAGAAAACACAGTCAGCAGAAGCCAACTTATAAGTGTTCATGATTGCAGTAAGACACAGTCCTCAGTGCAGCATGGTCCCATCTACATTTAATGCCCAGTTTTGCAGATATGAGGACTAACCTGTTGCTTGGTGCTTCTGCTTCAAGTCAGCCATGTACATCAAGCAAAAGGCAATGCATCTGTTGCAAAAGCATTTACATGCTTCAAGGTGCAGCCTGGAAATACTACACCACACAGTGACTCTTCAAGCCTCCAGTTGCCATTCTGGGGGTTCAGTAGCCACACACTCCATGGCTTTGACATCTGGGCAGGATTATTATTTTTTTATTTTCCCTGCTTTTTAACCCCATTCCAAATGTTAGGCTGGGGAAGAGTTCTGAAGGACCCCAAACCCTCACCTTTTAAATTTTACTTTGATGGACAAAAATATCACATAACCCGGCTGTCGCGTTTCCCCAGTGTCCCCTGTTTGTTTTCCCTCAAACACAGGTCCACCTTTGGACACGATGTACTATTTTCTCCCTTTACCTGCTGCCATCAGTGGATCTTTATCCACACTGTACCAAAAATGATTCTTAGACCCAGGCTGCCAAATATAAGAGGTTTATTTATTGTTTGATTGGTAAATCACATAAGTCATAGATGTTCTTTTATTGTTCAATCCTTCAACTTGGATAGGATTACACGTTTGCTTGTTTGTATTCATTCACATTAACCACTGTAACAATATCTTATGACTGTCTATCTTCTATTACAGTGGTGCCTCGCTTAACGATTGCCTCGTTAAACGACAAAACCGCTATATGATGACTGTTTTGTGATCACTTTTGTGATCGCAAAACGATGTTTTAATAGGCAAAATCTGCTTTGCGATGATTGGTTCCCTGCTTCGGGAACCGATTCTTCGCATTATGAAGTTTTTAAAACAGCTGATCGATGGCTTCAAAATGGCCGCCTGCTGTGTAAAATGGCTCCCTGTTGTGTTTTTGAACGGATTCCTCGCTATACAGGCACCAAAAATCGCCACCCCCTTGGAGGATCTTCACTGGACGGTGGGTTCTTCAGCCCATTGGAACGCATTGAACGGGTTTTCAATGCATTACAATTGGATTTTTTATTTCGCTTAACAAGGATTTCACTCTACAGCGATTTTGCTGGAACGGATTATCCTCGTTAAGCAAGGCACCACTGTACTTTTATCTCTTATTTATTCTCTAACACACGCCAACTTTCCAATCTCTGTCTTAACACGTCAAAACCTCTTCTCTAACTCCCCTCAGTTTCCAACTGTTCCCTTGACTCCACCCCTCCTGTCCCGCCATAGGCTCCTGCCCTAGAGCTCCATATGATGGACAGGCGTGACTTGGGCATTCCGCCACACTGGCTTCTTCATTTTACTATGGATCACACCCTTTTCATGTTATAGCTCATCATCCTGTTTTCTGAAGAAGTGTTCTACAAGGTACTCCTCAGCAGTTTTACAATTCCCTAAATTGCTGACACAACAAAAAGGCAGGCAGGGAGGTAAGGAAGGGGCCGAAAGATTAACATGCAAACAATAAATGTATGTGTGGTACCTGATTTTTTTAAGGTGAGTAGCTCACTTTTACTGTTAGTGGAAAGGTAGGCTTGACAATGGACCCAAAGTTGGGCTTTTTAAAGTGTACATTTGCCATCCAAACCGTGGATCTGAGTGCAAACCTGGTTTGCACTTTGAGTGAAGAACCCATTGTAACTTATTTTTCTATTTCATGCTAGTTTTTGTGTAAGCCAGCACAACGTCCCCCCGCTTATTTTATATTATGCTGCCAACAGCCTAGGTGATTAATAAATCTTGAAGAGATTTTACAAAACAGATCAGTTTCTGACAAATTTCTGACAAACATTTCTGACAAATACAACAATGTTGAAGCTCCAGGATAGGGAGGGGAAACTCAATGTATGTACAATTTCTATTTTGAAACTGCATTTTAAAAAATGTATTTCTTCAGTTTTACCATTTGCAAAGCCTGAGTCAAAGCGAATAATTTATCTGGTGTCCTCAGAGAGATCGCAACAGGGATTATTGTTGAAAACAATCAAGGGAGAACAAAGAAATATTACTGAGATGAGAAAATATGCAGCAACTCTTTCACCTTCTAGGTCGCCACTGTGAGGTCCATCAAATGACTGGAAACTACATGTGGGACCCAGCTACGAACACATCTTTTGATATCGGCGTGAACGAAGACAGCCTCTTACCTCTTTGGTGGAATGGATCAGAGCCACTGTGGGTCACTATGATGAAAGCAAAAAGGAAAGTCTTTATGTTCTATTGGCCTGGTTAGTATTGCGAAATTCAGCACTTCTTCAATTGGTGCTGATAACAGTACAGTCCAAACTCAGTGATATGTTGGTTGAAGTGAATTCAGAATGGGAAGAAGCCATCTTTGTGCTGGCTAATCTCAGATTTGCCGTTACAAGTAGATCTGCCAGCACATCTGGGGCACCTGTGATGAAGCCAGTTTCCACATGAATTTTGCATATTCTGGTTAAAATCCTCTTTTGTAAATTTTACCATGCAAGGGTGATGATGTCATCAGCCATGGTCATTTTTCAGGAATAAAAATCCCCAGTCCTCATCCACATGAAGGTCCTGAGGTTTCCAAGGAATGCTTTCTGTTCTTGGGAAGCAATGAAGGCTGCAGGACAAGGAGAAGTCTTGAAAGCACCCCAGCAAAAGCAATTTTATTTAAAGATGTCTTCCTCCTGCTCCACATCCCCCAACTGCTTCCCAACAATAAAAGGGATTCCATGGGAGCCTCAAGACCTTTCGGTTGGGGTGGGGAGGATGGCTAATGTCTTACAGTATTTCTGAAAAATCAATAAAAATAAAAATAAATGTTTGTTTCTTTGAATCCTGCCCATCTACTGAATAACTACTCTGGGTGTCTTACAGAAAACCATATGACAGCGTTGAACACAAAATTATGTTTAAGATAAAAATAACAATAACAAAATAACAAATGAAACATCATAAACATAAATTAATAACATATAACAAACTCTGCAAAGATGGCAACAACCAATCAATTGAAATGCACACAAAATTAGCCAAAACGTGTCTCATGCAGGGAGAATGGACCCAAATCCCTGTTTAAATAGCAATGTTTTCACTTGTTTCCTAAAGGACAGCAGGGAGAGAGCTTGGTACACATCGGCAGGCAATGAATTCCATAATGTTGTAGCCACCACTGAAAATTATGCAGCATAACTTTCAGAATAAGAGCCTAGCCTCTGTGTTTAAGCTGTATGGATACTAGCTCATCTTTAATCATCTCCATGTAATAATAACATTATTCTTTTTTATGAAGCCTTTGGCTGTAAAGCCTCTTGAAGCAAAGATTAAGAACTTGCCAGTGTTGAACAAACATTTTCCTTCCCCTTTGCTTGTGGTTTCTACGGCCATCCTGTTTTGTATTCTCTCTTTTCAACCATTACTTTGTATAGTGCCATGCACACTGGTAGCACCGTGTAAATCTGTTAGTATTAGCACTAATGCTAATTTGCATTCAGTGTGAATTTCTTTATAGGAGTGCTACAATAACATTCCTAACACCTCAAGCAACAGCAAATGTTTTTCAAGAAAAATATTCCTGTCATGTAGGGTAGCTCCTCTTCAGGCTAGGTGAGCACTAATCAGCTCAGGAGCAATATTGTTAATAAATTGTCATAGCCCAAGATGGGATTCCCCCCCCCCATTGATGGAAGCTTTGTGATAATGAAATAAAACCATTTGGATCATGCCCTTTTTGTAGAAAAATTTAATTTCAGATTTATATTGTTCTCGGAGTAGTTCTAATCTACTGTGGTCCCATATATATATTTAGATATATGTGCTTATCTTTTGCATTTAGGTGCCTATAGATAGCCCGTGAGGCAGCAGGCCTGTTCATTCACTTTCTTTGACAGTTCACCACACCCCCATCACATATGCCACCAGTCACGTCTCCCTTCATAGAATACTGCATAAGGCAATTCAACAGAGAAGGTTGTGTCTCAGCAACAGACAGACAAAAAATAAATAAATGACAATGTATGTTTGTATCTGCACAGCTTCGATAAGCAGAGAAACAAGCCCAACTATTCTTCCTTTCTTAGACAGAACAGCTGATGACGGCTAAAATATCACAGCACTGTAAACCTAGCACACCAGTTGCTACTGCTGTCAAAGAATTCCTAGACCCATCCAAACACACTCTCATTTTACTAAAATGTTCAAAGGATTGTTTGATAATCATCATTCTATGCAGTTGTTAAGACAAGTGGGTCATTAAAGTCATCTAGTACATTTTAAAATGCAAGTGATTTTGTAACTGGGAAAACAGATTCTAAATTAAATGTAAACATTATGGCCTAAAGCCAATTGCTAGTCCCAACTAGAAGGGGCTGGAAAACCACCTCTGAATACTTTAAACCTTGAGAAGGTTTGCCATAAATTAGAAATGCCTTGGTGGCACATAATTATTGTTATCATCATCATCATCATTTCCTATCACAGTGACTACTATCATATCATCATGCTCAGTAGGGTTTACATACTGGTTGACTTATAATTTAATTTAATTGACCTACTCTAGATGGTATGAGCAATTGGATTTATTCCAGATATTATTTTATTCAATTATGAATTGGCTTTTTTTTAAAAAAAGTTGCTTTTAAATAATGATCTTATTCCTATGCTCACAGCTCTTCATTTCAAGGGCTTTGGCTAAGCAGTGACAGTAATATATGACATCATTAAAATATAATCCTACCTTTAATTAAAACCTCCCCTTATTTTAGAAAACACAAGATACTTAAAAGCTGCTGAAGATATTACTGTTCATTCTTAAAGGATACAATACCAGAGAGCAGCCACTGCAACTTAGGGCACTGTGGTTAGGCACAGGAGATAGAAATCAAAATAACTATAAACTATAAACTATGCATATGCCTTACTAGAGTCATACAATCTCAAATGTTATTCTCTAGTCTGGGCAAACGCTACCAAGTATTAATAAAAAAAATTAATATTTCCAACCTCTTTCTTGGTACAGTGCAGATTCTTTGTCTGCTACTGAGTTCGTTACAGAAAAAAGAATTAAGTGCTCTGTCTCTTTGTCTTGGAACTGCTTAATGTCATACTTTAAAATAAGCATTCAGCTGCTCAGTTTTTCAGGTACATGGATATGTTTGGCTTCATCATCACTGAAGAAAAAACGAAAAAGACAAGTGAATTCCATTCCTTTCTCCCTGTTTCTAAGACATTTCCCAGACCTCCTGACCAGTCCTGGGAAGCTTTAAAAGGTTTCTGTTATGACATTCTGCATCTAACTGTTAAACCAATGTTTAGACATTCAATTTGAAAATGACAGAGGTTCAAGTCCCCCTGTCAAAAAGACATCACACATTTCATTATTAAAAGGGGGGATTCATTTTATTTAAAGTTCTAATTCAATTATGCTGTGAGTGTAATATGAAATGATCCAACTTATATAGTGAAATGAATGTAATTATCTTATATAGAGCAAACAGACATGCGAGTGTTCTTGAAAGTCTGTAGTCTATCCTTGCTTGGGATGTTGGAGTAAAGCTTTGAAGAACCTTCTTGAAGAAAAACAGCTGGCAAAGTGCATGTAGATGATAAACAATGTGCTTTCAAAATCTGTATATTATTTAGTGGGACACTTAACATAAGGTAATCTCTTCTGGGAAGTTTTGAATGACCCTTTTTCCCTCAGGAAGTCATTTGTGTCCCTTATATACCGCAGAAAGGAATACTGGTGATATTTGGTTTCCCATAAATAGTATAGTTTGCAGCAAATAATACAAATCATAACAATAATGGCTATACATTCAATTCTCATATAATTTTAGAAGTACTCTGTGTTTATCAGTTTAAAATTCTTAACCTAAGAAGATAGGCTGATGGACTGACCTTAAAAAAAAACCTAGCTGCCCTCACGATAGAATTTGTCAACTACAGCCACTGAAATATTGCCCCACAGGAATTTGGTATACCCGGGCAATCTGCTTTCTTCCCATAACTGCACTGCTATTCACATCAGCTCCTGTGTCTTGAGATATATGAAACTGATAGTATGTTAAGTGTCCCACTAAATAATATACCAGTTTTGAAAGTGCACTGTTTATCATCCACTTGTAAGCATCAGCTGCTTTTCTTCACAAAGATTATTCAATGTAAATCTACTTATGTGACTTATTTTCCTCAGTACAGCCTCTGTTCCCTTGTGCATTCCCTGAGAGTTATATTCTCATTTTCAAAAGGGGAACGAGAATGCCAACATTTAACTGGTGCCTGTTCCTTACTCTTCATGCTAGGAAAACTTTGTTTGTTTTGGCATTACGTCTTCACAGGTTCGAAGAAATAAATACTATAGAACAATAATTTCAAGGCTCCTAGATTATTACAAACAAAATTGCTTGTATGTTCTTGCTGAGCAAAGCAGCTATAATTATTAGTATTAAAATTACATGCTACCCTTGAGGAGTTGCTGCCACAGGATTCTAAGAGTTCGAACAGAGTCTGTTTTCTCAGGAAAGGTTTGAGGCGACAGAAAGGTGATTGGTGTAAAATGCTCTAGTAAGATTTTATGGAAATATATCTTACTATTCAATGTCTGTTCTGCAAAATGGGATTTTGTAATTAAGTACAAAATATCTGATAAACGTATTTCTAAAATCCAGACTTTACTGCACTTAATTTCTCTGAATACAAACCAGTGTGGTTAATAGCTCAGATCCAAATGGACATAACCCTGTAATGATTTAAAACAAAAGCAAAATGTTGATATTCAACCAATTTTTCTCTTATAAAACTAGTGTAATTCTAACAAGACATTAACCTAGGTACTGAACATCCTGCAGAGCTTAGTTTACAAAATTAGCATTTTCTTTCTTAGGAGCTATCAGGAGTATCTGAAATTCATGCCAAAGGTAAACATTTCTGATAAAAATTGAGTTTCAAATGGGCATTTTTTATATATTGGCATGTGACCATGCATGGATTATGTTTTGTTGTCAGTTTTCACATAGTGATATTTGCATTAAGAATTCAATATGAAGTTATATTATTAATTTAAATTATGATGATTACTTGGCAAAGACCACGTCCTTTAGTCACGCAATATTCAGCACTCTGAAGAAGGTGTAGCTAACAAATTATTTCTGTTTAGGATGTGAAGTTGAAATCCTTGGAATCAAACCTAGTCGTTGCCTCCCTTATTACAGTGTTCCAACTGATGCCGATTTCTCCCGTGCTGTAAATAGCGCTATTCATGTTCTGAGGTAAGGTCACCAAAATATTTCATTTATTTATTTCACTAAAGGAATAAAATTTTTTCTTTGTAGGAACATCAATGTGATATAACCACAAAAGTAATATTCAGTCGTGTGTGTGTGTGTGTTGTGTGTGTGTAGGAGAGAGAATGGAGCATGCAGAGATGAGGATAGTACAGCAAAAGTGCCCAGGTCCTGCTTTCTTGCCCATAGAAACACAGACACAATTATCTTTCTTGGCAAATATGTTAGATTAGATTTAGGGTAAAGTAGAGGAGAGTTTTTATTCCCTTACTATCCCCAGTAACAATACATGCTCCCATTATTTTAACTAATAACCATCTAATAAAATATATACTTCCTGTAGCATTTTAGTATCATTTCATAGTTGATTTTATTCTATTTATTGTTTGCTATTCTTTTAATCTGCTGCATTATTTATCTTCTTTTTTGTGCTTATGCAAACATACTTATCAGGTATTGTGCAACAGATTGTAACCTGGAATCTATGTAACTTCAGTTAACAGTTGAATTTCACCCCTAGAATCCAGATGTTTGTACAGTAAATGATGCTACATATAAAAGCAGTTTATTATATTTTCTTTCGGCAAAAAGCGTTCAAGGGGATTTGCTGTTTAAAATAAAGGCTTGCAATATGAAATGAGATATGAGCAAATTCCAGAATTTTGCTCTGCCAGAGAATTGCCCTCTGGGGGTCAGCACTCTTTCCTGATAAGAATGTCCATGGATGAGGTGACATGTTTTTCAGTTGCTTCAGGGAAATGGCATATTGTATAAAAATAGGGGCTGGATTAGAAAACAGGCTGGTCCAGAAGTTAATTTTACCTACACAGCTGAATATTCAGGTATCAACTCACCATGGAACAAGCAGTAGGCAAGTGTCTATTTTATATTTGAAGTTATTACTTGTTATTTGTTATATTGGGATTATATTTGTTTTTTCTGTTACGAGTTATTGTAATTTAGTTAGAGTTATTTTGGCCTGTGTCATCTACGGTCGTCTTTTTTGGTTAATATTGATTGATTGATGGGAATGAGGGTACAATATTTTATTATTATTATTTTGTGTTGGTTGTATGGTTTGTCCACATCATGTAAACTACTTTGAGCAGTAATTTCACCTAAGTCAGGTGGTCTATAAGCTTCATAAATAAACAAAATCAATAAACTGATCCTTAGTCAGACTAGCTACATTTCTAGCAGTAATACCTAGAGGACATAGGTAGAAACGAGAAAATGGTTTTCTTTTCCTTCTTTTCTTTCTTTCTTTCTTTCTTTCTTTCTTTCTTTCTTTCTTTCTTTCTTTCTTTCTTTCTTTCTTGTAGTCCTAAAAAAGTAACTTCCCCAATCTTTCTGCAAACAGGTCCAGACATAGATGTCTAAATTAAGGAGCAGGAAGGCTCAAGAGTTTCATGTGCCAGACTGCTCTGAGAGTGGAGCGTAAGAATTCCTCCAAGACATGCTTTCAGACTGCATTTATCTTTAGGAACAAAAACAATAAGGGCATGTAGTAGTTTTATAATCATTTGTCATCTCTACTTCTCCTTATTTACTTGATTTATATGGCACCATTCTCCCAGTGATTCACCTCATTGGATGGTGTACAACAGCTAAAAATTAGTTATGTTTAAAATCATAGCTAATTAAGATACTAATATTAAAATGCGATTAAGCTTGAAAAATGTTACAAACACCACTAACGTAAAAACAAAAGCCTGATTTAAAAATATGCTGCATCCTTTGCTAAAACTGCAACCTTTCCAGGGCACTCATGGATCAAAATCTAGTTTAAAAAGGAAGGTTTGGCAGGCTATTCCCAGTCAGTATGTGCAGCTCTATAACCAGTTTAGAAAATGGAATCAGTTTCCTGCTGTGGAATTTTTACATGACAAAGGCCATGCAAAACTTTTAAATTGGTGAGAGCTCTCACTGTTTTGTTTTGTGTTTTGGTGCCCTGGCCAACAAAATAGTCAGTTCACAAAAGGCAACAAGTGATCCAGTTTCTAGAAATTTAAATGCAAGTTATGTCCAAGATCATTGCCATTGGAACACCAAGTAAATAATTACGAAGAACCACTGTGGACTACAAGAACTTGGACAATGAGTTGATTGTCACATCCAGACTATGCAAGAACTTAGTTACTCTTTTAGAAATACGTTTAGCCTGTTCAATTTTATTTTTGGAGAAAACGTTGTATCAGGGACTGGATCTGAAACACGCTCCTCCCCCCATCTGCATTAGAGCCACATACCAGTCGTTTAGGTCTCTGGCTGCGAAGCCAGAGGTTGGGCGTTCAGTTCTGCACTGAGCCTTCTTGATAGGAGCTGGACCCAATGATCTACCAGGTCCGTTTCAGCTCTGCAGTTCTAAGATAATGATGATGATGATACCAATTTTCTGCTAAAAGCCACTTCTTCCTGGGTGTTTGATTTCCCCTTATATATACTGTGTCTAAGTGCAATGTAATACTTCTATGGACAAACACCTGTCAGATGGGGGTGGTATTCTCCAAAATAACCCAGCAAATATCTAGACGGGGAACACCTACTGAATCCAGAGCCCAGAGCTGTTTTTCATCCCTTGAAAGCCACAGCAGACCAGTTCTGTATGCTTGTTTAATCATGGAGATAGTATTGCATGTACTCTGGCCCTCAGTTAGAATGGGCTGAAAGTAAGGCAAAGGCTTGATCACTTGTACGTTAGGTACGAGAAGGAACAGCTGAGTCTCAGATAGAGAACTTTTTTATTTAGAACTTTTTAGCTGATCCTAGACAACAGCAGAAGATGAATAGCAGAAACTTTATACAAGTAAAATTTTTCTGCTATGCTAATTTATCTAACTTTATTTTCTTCAGAACCTCTTCATTCATTTTTGGTCACATATGAATAATCTGTAGCTAGAAAACCCTGAAAAGGGTCACTATGAATCAGAACTGACTTAATGGCACTCAATTTTTATTATTGCTGGCTGGATAGCTCAGTGAGTTCGGTATCTGGCTGCAGAGCCAGAAGTTGGGAGTTAAATTCCCCACAGTACGTCCCATTGTATATATATACAATGTGTGGTGTCTGGTAAGAAGGGAACAGCAAACTACTTCTGTGTGTTCGCTACCTAGAAAACCCTGGAAAGAGTCACCATAGATCAGAACTGACTTGACAGGACACTATTGTTGTTGTTGTTGTTGTTGTTGTTGTTGTTGTTGTTGTTGTTGTTGTTGTTGTTGTTGTTGTTGTTGTTGTTGTTGTTGTTGTTAAATTCCAGCCACAGTCAATCATAATTATGAAAACATTGACTGGTATTAGACAACAGATACAATTTTTATGGTTAATTTTTTTAATTACTGTATTTTCTTCTTTGCAAGGGTAGGGCAGGGTAGGGGGTAACTGGGACAAGGACACATTTAAAGGGGGTTGATTTGAACAAACACAATACAAATCATTATTTTCATAATAATTCTGAATAATCCCTTCTAAGAGTAGTTCTAGATAACATATGAGAATATATACAATATATAAGGAAAATCCAAATTCAGACCTATATTTTGTAATTCTAATTATTAATTATGTAGCTGTTTATATTTATCTAGTATTTAAAAGTAACTCTTCCTATACTATGATTGTATATCAGCCTACCATTCTAACTATTTTGTGATCATATATTTAGTGACCACCAAGTTTCCCAGTGCTCCTTTCTCTCTCTGTCTTGCTCACTTTTTTTGGATTCAGCTAGTCTGTTAACATATTGATTTCTTCAGTTCCCAGTATTATTACTATCAATTCCTGTATTTTTGGTGTTCCAGACTCCTTTCAGTGTTTGACGAATACTAATCTTGGTACTATTGTTGCTTCCGTCTTTTATATAATCAGTTTTTTCATAATAATTCTAAATAATTCCTTCTAAGAGTAGTTCCAGATATCATACCAAAGTATATACAATATATAAAGAGAATCCAAAGTCAGACATATATTTTATAATTCCAATTATTAATTATATAACTGTTAATATTTATCTAACATTTAAAGTAACTGTTCCTAAGCTATGATAGTATATCAGTCTACCATTCTATCTATTTTGTGGTCATATATGTAGTGACCACCAAATTTCCCAGTGCTTCTTTTTCCTTTTTTGGATTCAGCTAGTCTGTTAGCATCTTAAAAAGCAGAGAGATCACCTTGCCAACAAAATTCCGCATAGTCAAAGCTATGGTTTTCCCTGTAGTGATGTATGGAAGTGAGAGATGGACCATAAAGAAAGCTGACCGCCGAAGAATTGATGCTTTTGAATTGTGGTGCTAGAGGAGGATTTTGAAAGTCCCCTGGACTGTAAAGAGAACAAACATATCAATTCTAAAGGAAATCAACTCTGAGTGTTCACTGGAAGGACAGATCCTGAAGCTGAGGCTCCAATACTTTGGCCATCTCATGAGAAGAGAATACTCCCTGGAAAAGACCCTGATGTTGGGAAAGTGTGAAGGCAAGAGGAGAAGGGGACGACAGAGGATGAGATGGTTGGACAGTGTCTGCACATATACACACACATATACATATATGCATATATATACACATACACATACACACACACACACACACACATATATACATATACATATATATACACACACACACACACATACATATATACGCATACATACAGATAAAGAACAAAAACAACAACAATGACAACAACAACAACAACAATGCTTCCATATTGCCTAGTATAATCTATGATTTATGATACCCATTGTGTAACTTTTCCTACATATTTGGCCCAAGAGGGGAAGTGAAATTTTATTAAAATGTCTTGGTTCCATTAAAGCCATACCCAGGCTTTTGTATCAGGTCGGAAATCAGCCTTCTCCAACCTGGCACTGCCTAGGTGTGTTGGTCTGCAACTCACATCATCCCTAGTAATTATGTCACATTGTGGTTGGGGATTATGGGGAGAACAGTCCTAGAAATGAGAGGGCCAGAGTTGGAAATCCTATTCTAAATACTTTTTTTTGCTTAGTATTTCACATTAAAATAACATTTTATTTTAAGAACCAAATTGCCAGTGGATAAATCATGGGAGCTCTAGTATTCTGGAATATTAAAACTTTTTTCTCTTTCTCTGGAAATGCCAATTTTTTTACTTGCTAGCCTCCTAGAACAATGGAAGTTAAAGGATTCTTTCAGAAAGTATATTTTAATTGTGCACTGTTAAGTAACTAATAAAGGCATATATTGGCTTTATGGATATATTTTCAAAGATCTGTAGCACTGATTTGACAGACCCCTCCAAATCTTTGTTTTTACTTGATATTTCACTTCAGAAGAAAATTTACTTCAGTTACCAAACTGCTGAATTGCAAATACTGCACAAAGCGTCAACATTTGCCTTGTTTGCATAAAGGGGTGTTTATGTGGCCTTTTAAATGGCATTGTGATGAGTGCCAAATAATGACAGTGTATGTTATTTTATTTAGTACTTTTTAGAAGAGGCAAGACACCACTGAGTAGTAAATTTTGTGTGTATCACAAGCTAAGATAAACACAATATTGTTACACCTTCACAGCTCCTCTTCTTTATTACATTGACACATATATGTTAATATAATTGTCAGGTCTACTGCACAGATGGATGGAAGTTATTTGAAAAGATCAGTCAGGCCTCCGTCAAGGATCTCTATGTAGGACTGAGATGAAAATTTAAAAAACCAAATACATAAGACATAGGAGAGCCATCACTAGATCTCCCAAAGATCTGTTCTGTTACACTGAGGGTGTGACACTGCAGGAAATGTACTGGTCCCTTTTTAATGACATATGGGGGGGGGGAGGGACGAAATAAAAATACAAAATAAAAATGTTATGGCACCTTAAAGACTAACTGATATATTTTAAAGTGAGTTTTCATGGACACATCCACTTCCTCAGACACTTGTAATATAGCCGTTAGTCTTTAAGGCAACACAATGTTTTTTCTTCTTTCTTTCATATTTTTCTTCTGTTTTTGCCTTATGTGCTAGCACAGACTAACATGGATACCTCTTCTAAAATTACTTTTAATGTCAATTTCCCTACATCCTTCCCCTGCTGCCATTTGTCTTCATTGCTTTCTGTAACAGAGCATATAGCAGCTGCTGGAGACAAAAAAAAAAATTGAAAATAGCCTAGGCTAACTGCTAGCATCATGGACTGAAGCCATAACCACTTCCCTGAGCTTTTTTTGTGAAGTGTATGTGTGCATTTGTGTTTATCTGAGAATTTAATCTTTAATGGTTTTTTATATGTTTCCTGGGGGAGCTTTCACAAACCTGTGTGTGTGTGTTGCAGAATTAGAGAGGCATCAAGGCAGCAGGTCCTGTCGCCAATTTATGGATTATTTGAACATCAGAAGAAAGTTGATAAAGCCTTCATGTCTTCCCTGCATGGCTAGGAAGTCTGTGAACTCTGTAAGAAGTTTGGTAACTGATGCACCGTTCTAACGTTGCAAATTCACCAAAAGAGGAAAAGGTGGTAAAGATCCAGTGGGGAGAGGTGCAAGCATGGCTAGGAAGAGGGATATTGCATCATTCCCATCCAGACTTGTTTTTGGTATAAAGCCTTTGTTACCGTAACATAGTGCACTACTGAGGAATGTAGGGATATACTGTGGTATTTGCCTCTTACGTTTCCAGAAGCATGTTTAGCTTACACTTAATTTTTTTTGTGGTGTTGCCACTCCAGCAGTAACACAGCAGATATGGCAGCAGTATATTATGAACGGGTTGATGTCGAAGGTCATCATTACGGCCCTTCGTCCATTCAGAGGAAGAATGCTGTAAAAGCAGTGGATAATGTTTTGTACAACTTGACTAAACTTATCAAGGTCAGTGTGACTTGGAAGTTACAGGGTCCATTAGTATTTTCCCCACATTCTGTACCTTATTAAACCTTAATAATTTCTATCAATTTTTCAAGGGCTTCTTCACATTACACTACCTGCACTTGTTGTGGTACAGTATTTACGTCTGAAATGGTATAACGTGCCCTGTGCATATTCCATGAAACCATGGCCAGTCATGGATCAAATCCATAGACATAATTGCTTTAGATCAAGTAGTGCATGCATATTTTTGCTGTATTTTCTGAGTATCAACAGCAAAGAGACCTATATTAGTTATGGTGTGATAAGGCATGTAACATGCAGATGACATCATAACTTGGTGCTGTGAATATAAAAGTTCCCAATGATGCTGGCTTCAGAGAGTGATAAAAAGGTAAAGGTGAAGGTTCCCCTTGACAATTTTTGTCCAGTCGTGTTCGACTCTAGGGGGCGGTGCTCATCCCTGTTTCCAAGCCATAGAGCCAGAGTTTTGTCCGAAGACAATCTTCCGTGGTCACATGGCCAGTGCGACTTAGACACGGAACACTGTTACCTTCGCACCAAGGTGGTCCCTATTTATCTACTTGCATTTGCATGCTTTCGAACCGCTAGGTTGGCGGGAGCTGGGACAAAGCAACAGGAGCTCACTCCATTGCGTGGATTCGATCTTACGACTGCTTGGTCTTCTGACCCTGCAGCACAGGCTTCTGCGGTTTAACCTGCAGCGCCACCACGTTCCTTCAGAGAGTGATAAGGTCCTTCTTTTACCAAATGCCCCAAGATTAGCAGAGAGCAAATCAGCAGTGCACAAAAAAAGCCAATAAATGCCATAGTTGAGCAAGAATGACCACTTTGCTTCCTGTACTTTGGGGACATGAAAACCTAGCTGGAAGAGCTCTAATGAGAAGGGAGAGCTTAAGGTGGTCCACAACCCCCATGCTTGACACTCACCTAATTTTCACCAAATCATGCTCATCCTTTCTAAAAACACTAGCCTAAGGGCCTGGTGAGGGACGTGGTGGCGCTGTGGGCTAAACCGCAGAAGCCTGTGCTGCAGGGTCAGAAGACCAGCAGTCGGAAGATCGAATCCACGCAACGGAGTGAGCTCCCGTCACTTGTCCCAGCTCCCGCCAACCTAGCGGTTCGAAAGCATGCAAATGCAAGTAGATCAATAGGGACCACCTCGGTGGGAAGGTAACAGCGTTCCGTGTCTTAGTCACACTGGCCATGTGACCACGGAAGATTGTCTTCGGACAAAACGCTGGCTCTATGGCTTGGAAACGGGGATGAGCACCGCCCCCTAGAGTTGAACACGACTGGACAACAATTGTCAAGGGGAACCTTTACCTTTACCTAAGGGCCTACACTGCAAAGTAACTAAGAAGAATCTCCCTTGCTCTCTTAATATAGCTGGGAGAAACCCCTGCCTAACATTTTAGAGGTGAACCAGCAGGCTGCTTTGATATTGAGTACTCATATATTCTTTGAAAGAATGATAAAATTCATGAACTGGAAACATTGTGGCAGGGACTGCTGATTTCTACATTCTAATACTTCTTAGAATGTAATACTTTGGTAACAGTAACAAACATAGTAAGAGGTGACATTTAGCACCCATACTGATTGGCTCATGGTCATCCAGATCATAGCACTCCGCAGGCAGAATCAACAGCATGTATGATGAAACTGCACTCTGTGTTCTCACAAGGGTGAAAATGTGGAAATACCGAGTATTGATTTTGCAGCAACAACATTGGCTTTAACATTGGCTTTGGGGTCTTGATCTTGATCTTTAAATTTCTGGTACCAGTAGCAGGTAAAATGTTAATTGGGTTGAACAGAAATGACAAAGAATTTTGTGGAATTGCAGACTAAACCAATTTATTTGGCATAAGATCAAAGCAGGCTGTCATTCATGAAAGCTTATGCCAAATAAAATGTGTAAGTCATTAAAGTGCCACAAGAGTCTTTGTTGATTTTTTAAAACTTCTCATGGCCTGGGTCTTACATGGACAACATCACACATGAAATCCACAAGCACACCACTCTTTTAAAAGCTATAGCAAAATTAATGGTTAAAAGCTATTGAATGCTTAAAAGCTATTGAACAAATTCAAGAAGAAAAAAAAAAGTCTTCTGCTTTTCCTAAAATTACACCAGCCTGCAGAATACACTGTACTGGATTTCACACTGAAAGCTATGGCTGTATTTTTAAAGAAACCACATGTCACAGAAGCCCAGATTCAGAGAAAATTAGCAACTCCTAAATCTTGTTGACACCCCTGGTAGATTAGTTAGCAGAAGCAGATGGTTTGGGTTATGATGAGAGAGCCCCCAAATCAGCTTCCCCTATGATAATGGTAAGGACATATCACATGGATTGACAACATTATGCTGTGTTTTCTGCCATTCCCAGCCATTAGCACTTAGAATATAGAATGGAAGGTCATTAAAATGCCTAATCTGAAGTTGGCAATCCCACCACAATTTCTGTTCCAGATTTGGAGAACCTTTTTATATAGGACTCTCCACTGGGCCCTCAGCCAACTGGAAATTCAAGCCAATTTAAAGCATGAGAATTGAGCTTCAGGGAACTGAGTTTTGATCTGCAGCCTAAGAAAATGTCTTCAATTTCTGAGTTAAGTCTCATTGGAACCAACTAAAATAGGCTTAATTTTGTGTAATTTAAGTCTCTTTTAGGTCCCACAGATTTCAATTTAAATATGGCTAACTTTATTTAGATCAAGGCCAGGATATCTTTTCTTTTAAAACCAAGCCCTTTGACACTATCAGGTCAGACGGGAATAGGAGGGGCACATGAAGAGATTAATCTTCACTGTGCCTATCCTCATATCAGTGCTGTTGCAGGTAAGGTGAATTTGCTTTACTGGACTCAAAATGAGGAAGCACGCAGTGTCCTTTCCAAGCTGTAACCATGGTCTGCTATCTTGACAGGACAAGGGCCTGCAGAATGACCTGAATGTCATTCTTTTCTCGGATCATGGGATGACTGACATTTCCTGGACGGATAAACTGATTGAACTGAGAAACTGCATCAACATGAGCGATGTTATACAAATAAAGGACCGAGGGCCTGTTGTAAGCCTGTGGCCAGCCAAAGGCAAGGAGCTTGAGGCAAGAAAAACAGCCACCTTTTATTTTCTTTAATGCATTGCACACCAATCATTTATTTGTTGCATTACTGTCATGATTTACACCCAGTTCTGCTGCTCTGTCACACCAAACTCTGAATGTGTCTCTCCTTGTGCATTCACAAATATCCCAGTATACTTAGAAAGAGAAAGAAAGAGATGGCTGAGGAATTCTGAATTTCCTGGAGTTCTGAATTTCCAGCTGCCCCACTATAGCTGAAGAAGAAGCTGTTTCTTCACTGTCCCATCACGTTGTTTTTGATAGGACACAATAGAAGGTGCTCATTAAATTGCCTCCGGTGTCATTTTGTTTTGTGTTGTTGATAGTTTAAATTTTTATTCTGTTATTGTTTTATTTATATTTTTATATGTGTTTATTTTTGTGAACTGCCTGGAATAATGGATAGCACTAATGGGGTGGTATGTAAATAAACAAACAAACAAACAAACAAACAAACAAACAAACAAACAAATAAATCTGCTAGCAAGAACTAAGACTAAGAACAGTGAAATTAGAAACAGGAACCACATGTACTAATGACAGATATCTATGCACCTACAAGGTTCAGTTAGATGTTGGGGGCACATAACCCACTTTCCCCTCACAATGAGATTTCTTCAGAGATATGTAACTCAGCAGTCAGATGTGCACTTTAATCCCATTTTTTTCTTGCAATGACTAGTCACAAAACAAAGCACACTAAATGCAAGATTCGTATGTGAAGAAAATCATGCAATGATACACACATGGGGGTAGCACTTGTACAAGAACCATGACAAAGAGCATTTGGCCTTATAAAGCCCTAAGAACCCAGACTGAACCAAACAGAATACTCTGTCTCTATCTTCCCAACTGCAGCCTCTCAATGAAAACATTGCTCCTCTTAGCAACATCATTCATGTAATTTTACTTTTTACATCGATACTCTGCCTCTCCATTCCATTCCTAAGTAGTGTTTAAGGTAAGCAATAATCATAAAACACTATAAAAACAATAGCAAAAACACTATAGTGAGGTACTGTATCATCATGTGCATACAGAGAGAACCATTACCAATGGCTGCCTCACAAATGTAGTACTAGCTCCCATTCAGGTTAAGTTCTGTAATCCCATTCAGCGATACTGGCCGGGATATTCTGGGAACTGCGGTCTAAAAAAGCAACATTTCCAAGCTCTTGACATGGAGTCAATGTCAGGATTTTCTTCTTGCAGGTTAGCATTGTTGTAATATTGTACAGGGTGTCAGCGTTTACACTCTGCATTTTTAGCTGTTGATCAATTTTAATTTGGCTTTTTAACATACAAATCCAACCATTTTATGGTCCTTGCAGGCTGTCGTGTCACTTTTGAATTACAGTGACTCCACAAACACAATATGAAAGAAATATAGGTAGAAGAAGGATTGCAGAAGTTGCATAATGAACCTTATAAGATGATGTGTGAAGAATTGATTCCAGTTTGTGGTTCCCTTCAAAGGTGCCATTGCCCCCCTCAGGTGACCATGCGGCTCCCGTTGAGAATGACTGCTTTAGAAGACTGCTCAATTCCATGGGACAGTTATAGTCTCTTAACAAAATATGAAGATGGTTGTTGTGGGTTTTTCGGGCTCTTTGGCTATGTTCTGAAGGTTGTTCTTCTTAACGTTTCGCCAGTCTCTGTGGCCGACATCTTCAGATCTTTACAGATTCCTGATTTGCCTTGAGACTCATTTGAACTAAAGGCACATCCTAATCAAAATGAAGTATGATTTCCTCAAAATAGTCAATAGTTATTTTAAGGTTCCTGTTCAAACAGGACTGGTATTTGCCTTAAGAATGTAAATAAATTACTATTTTTCAGTTTTATGTGACCCAAGTGCCTACAACATTATGTTTTATGTTATACAGTTCTCTGATTTTTTTTCTTACAAGATTTTGACTATTTTCTGTACTGGTTTGTAACAACTTTTTTTGTTTTCTAATTAAAATTCTGCTTGATAGATACTAAATAAATACCCTGCCAGTTACTGGCACCGATATGATTGTTCTCCAAGGCAGGCAGTTATTGCATGGCTATGACATAACAATTACTTCCAGAAATACCCAGAAACTAAGTAAATCCAGTTCTTCTGGTAAAACATTATGGTTATAGCCTAATGAAGGAGTGGTTCCACTTCAGTAGTGTAACATAACTTCTGTTCATTGTTATCATTTCTTTCATCAGATAAGACTCACTGACTTCAAAGCATTCTGCTTATATACCTCCTTATAGTGCTTAAATCACTCTCTAGGTAGTTTACAAGTTGAATTATTCAGACTACACATTGCCCTCCCCCAAGTGAGCTGGGTACTCATTTTACCTACCTCAGAAGGATGGAAGGTTGAGTGAACCTGGTTACCTGGGATTGAACCCCGGGTTGTGAGCACAGTTTTGGCTGCAGTGGAGCAGTTTAACCACTGTGCCACAAAGCCATAGTGAAAATAATGCCAATATATGTGTGCATAGGATTACTGCTTTAATTGCTAGCTGGGGTGGGATTGATCTGCTCTCTTTTGTTATTGTCAGATTTCTTTTTAAACAAACAGACAAAATTTGAAACCTTTATGACCCTTCTTGTAGAAAGGGAATTGCTGCTCTTTGAACAATTTGCTCCTCTGTGGCATAACAAGGTTTTGCTTTAAAATCAGCATTTTAAGTGTAATTTGTATATCATTTAAAAATTGACTTTGTTCTTTAGTGTCATTGGTGCATCTTAGTTTGAGCACACTAATATGCCATTTTAAATCAAATATTATGTCATTATAATGTCTTGTGTATTTTTATTTGTCTTAAATACCAAGATGTATCCCATATCAAGGGCCAGGGTTGTAACATTCAGAATTTTTTTAAAAAAGGAACCGGACTGCAGTTATTTTCAGTTGAGAAACATGAAGACTTTGAGACACATGGAGTTACTTAAAAATATACATATATAACTGTATTGCTAACTAACTGTGAGGATATTGGAACCAGAATTAATTACGCTTTAAAATAGTTTTTTCCAAGTTCTAGATAATGGATTGTTGCATCTTTGTGATTCCGAGGGCGAAAAGAAATAAGAATGGGAAGCTCTACAATTAGAAACTAAGCTGACTTAAGCAACAAAAGACGTGTCATTATCCTCTAATGTCTTTCATATCTAAGTTACAAATTGGGGGTTGGTTGGTTTGGTGAGTGGCTGTCAGGAGGAAATGATGTGTCTCCTTGCATACTGATCATGCAAACCCAGCTTTGCAGAATAAGTCTCTGCAAAGATAACAGTTGATTTACTTCTAATTCTAAAACTGCTGATCTCATTTGTTTTGATCCTCAGGTTCCACTTTTAGATGTGGAGAAACACAGAACATGGGCCGCTAGATCTTACAGCATTTGATTAATATCCAGTGGGAACATCCAGGTTGGCATGTCGTGATTCTGTCCACTGAAGTTTCATAGCTTTTATTTCTCTTGCAGATATATAATAAACTAAAAAATGTGCAACACATGGCAGTGTACCTGAAAGAAGATATCCCAGCTAGATTCTATTATAAAAAAGGGAAATTTGTATCTCCTTTGACACTTGTTGCTGAAGAAGGATGGTTCATAGTAGAGGTAAATCACCTTTATCAGATCTGTAAAACGTGTGAAGAGTCAAGCAGAGCACAGTCCTACCTAGTGATCTGGCTGGCAGGGGCTGAGCAGGACATTTTGTTACCTAACACAAAGTACTGTAGCAGATAGTCATGCTCATCTGCCCAAGTCAAGGTGCACAGCAGAGATGGAAAAAGTTACTCTTCTGACTACAATTCCCAGAACTCTTGGATACGCTGGCTGAGGAATTTGGGAAGTCTAAAAGTAACTTCTCCTACCACTATACAGCCAAATTATTTTGTTGCAGGGCAAAAATATCTGAAGCACAGGTCTGCATCCTCACTACAAGATATTTATAAAATTAAACAAATAACAACCTCACTGTGTTTGAACTGCTAGGCTGGGAACAAACCAAAGAAAGTTTGTTGAAATGGATGGGCTGTGTTTGGCTTGGTGGATCATAAGCTGTGTAGTCTTGTGTTATGATATAGCAAGTCTGTTTCGATTATAAATTAATGGTAATTTTTTTAAAAAACATAACAGTATTTGGGTGAAATATGATATTTTGACACACAGTTCAAAAAAGGTGGAATCATATTTAAATTTTAGGAATATATGGTCTTGTTTGTAACTATAGGAATTGGATTATGTTTATCTTAGACATCTGTTCATATTACCGAGCTCAGAATGGTGTATTTTCTTATCAACAACATATAATTTTTCTTATCAACGTCATATAATTCTTATATAAAAATAACTGTGTTATATACAACCTTTAAGAAAAAGCATTATTGATTCAAGTCTCTTAACAACACGAAGTTGTTACTTAACAGCTCAATCTCTCCCATCATGTTGAAAAGATGTAATCAGCATATGGAGATTAGAAATCTCTTAGCCCCTTCAATTTTTGGCATGTTAATTTTTCAGATTTCATTTCCACCAAGCAGAGGATATAGAAATTTTATCAAATACATATGCAGACCACAATCCAATATTGGTGACTTTAGGGCAGAGGATAAGGAGTGGATTTTGGAGACTTAACACGCAACTGCTGAGAGTAGAGACCTTCGTAAATAAAATAAAAAATGAGATGAACTTTTTTTTCCAAAATAACAAACCTCAAGACACAGGAATGACAATGATATGGGATGCAGCCAAAGCATACTTCCAAGGGTATGCAATAGAATTTAATGCACAAAGAAAAAAAGAAATAAATAAACAGTACCAAGCCCTAATAACATCTTTAAAGAAAGAGGAAGCAGAGCTTAAGAAGGCACCAACAAAAAAGGGATTGCTTAACAAAATAAATATTTTACAGCATAAAATTAATTTATTAGAACAGGAAGAGATGGAGAAGAAAATTAAATTTACAAGGCAAAAATTCTTTGAAAATGCAAACAAACCAGGAAGATGGTTAGCGTACAGAATAAAAAGGGAGAGAGAGAAAACGAGGATTACAGCAATATTTGATAAGCAAGGGAAGGAAGTATATAAACAAAAGGAGATTGAAAAGGATATTCATGAATTTTTCACTGAACTATATAAGAAAAGAGAAGGAGAAGAAGAAAGAAAGGCTGAATCATCAACAATTGGAGAAATTGAACAAACCAATCACAATGGAAGAGATTGGAGATGCATGGAAGAAACAAAAAAAGTGGTAAATCCCCTGGTCCAGATGGACTGCCAGCAGAATACTATAAGACATTTGAAGAAATCTTAAGTCCACAATTCAAGAAACTAATTGAAGATATACAGACTAAAGGGAAATTCCTAATTCCTGAAAAGAAGCATACATCTCGCTAATACGTAAAGAAGGCACAGATAAAAGACTGACTAAGAATTACAGACTGATCTCTCTCCTAAATGTTGATTATAAGATCTTTACAACCATCCTAGCCACAAGACTAAAGGAGACACTTGAAATAATAATACATAAAGACCAAACAGGCTTCCTATCTAAAAGGAAATTATCATCAAATATAAGGACAATAACAGACATACTGGAATATTACGAAATGCACCCCGAAAAGCAGATGATGCTAATCTTGCTTGATGCAGAAAAAGCCTTTGATAATGTAAATTGGGAGTTTATGCTATCATTACTGAAGAGAATGGGTTTCCAAGGAACATATTTACAAGCAATTAAGGCAAGTAGCCAAGATAAAAGTTAACGGAAACCTAACTGGGAATATACAGATTGAACAAGGAACAAGACAGGGTTGCCCACTATCCCCTCTACTATTTATTTTAGTATTGGAAATATTTAACAAACAGATCAGGGACAACGAAGCAATCAAAGGACTCAAGGTTAGAGGAGAAGAATTTAAGCTACAAGCGTATGCGGATGACAGCGATAATACTAGAAAATCCTTTGGAAAATCTTGAAGGATTATTGGAAGTTATAGAAGATTTTGGACAGGTGGCAGGATTTAAAGTAAACTATCAAAAAAACAAAATTTATGACAAAAAACATAAAGAAGGAAGATGTCAAAAAATTAGCATGGAACTCCAATTTTGAGGCGGTGAAAAAAATTAAATATTTAGGGGTGATTATCAAGATTACCAAGAAACCAAGCAATTTAATGAAAGAGAACTATTTAACAATACAGAAAGAAATTCAGAAAAATCTGGAGGATTGGAGCAAACTACAACTCTCATTTATGGGAAGAATATCAGCAATAAAAATGATGATTCTACCCAAACTCCTATTCCTGTTTCAAAATCTCCCAATACTACTGAATTTTAAATACTTCAAGGACTTGGACAGATTAACATCAAATTTTCTCTGGAAACCTAAGCCAAGAATAAAACTTAAACTGCTACAAGATCTGAAAGAAAGGGGAGGGGAGTGGGCTTGCCGAATTGGTTACTATATTACAAGGCCTGCGCGATGACCTGGATTAAAGAATGGATAACTTTAGAAAATCAAAGACTTATGAAACTAGAGGGACACGATTTAAAGATGGGATGGCACGCATATGTATGGTACGGGAAACATAAGGGACACTCACAGTTCGGAGAACACATTATTAGGAAGGCCCTAGGGATGGTGTGGCAAAAATTTCAAGCACAAACTTATGAGAAAATCCCATTAATAGGATTTTTACCATGCGGCATTTGGAGATATACTCATTTTCTTATGACAACATTTATTTTATTTGAATACCAACAAATCCTAAATTATAACCTGTTTCGTCGTGCTGTAATCTTCTATTTCAGCATAGCATTAGGATGTTCTTGTCTGCATACAGTCACATGGTTTGTTTCTACTGAATTTTCATCTTAGGTAGCATCTTTTTTTCTTCTTCTAATGTCCAGAAAATATACACTGTCCAAGACACTACCTCTAGTCAGCATGTACCTAATCTCTGATATCTCTTTGCATTATTTATAGTCCATGCTGTAACAATAAAGTTTTCAAGTAGCAATGAGAACCAGAGGAATATATCCTAAGACAAGGTTGCAAGGTTATGTGAAAACAAAGACCTTGTTGCAGTATTAAATAAATACTGAATTTTGATCCTGTATTTTTCTTCAGTGAGTCATAGAAACAGGCTCATCATGTCAGCCAGATTTCTTGCTCCATTTTCTATGTACTAATCATAATTATCTCCTATGCTTTGATGACCAACTGTCAAAAGCATTTTTCCTGTAAGTTGGAGAACATTAGAATTGCAGCCAGTTTCAGAAGAAATAGTGAACAAACTGGATTAAATTTCTAGATCAATCTATTGTAATGTTGGCAGCTGGAATTTCTATCACAGATAAATTAACAAATCCTATTCAGATCCCATCAATCACCCATATTAATTCAGCTGAATGGTCCATTTGGCAGATGCTCCTTTTCTTATTCACTCTTCCATATGCTGTAAGTAGTTGCAGGAGAAATGTAGGAAACGACGACAGCCACTCTTTGTGGCCTTCATAGATCTTACAAAGGCCTTTGACTTCGTTAGCAGGGATGGCCTTTTTAAAATACTTCCCAATATTGGATGTCCACCTCGACTCCTTAACATCATCACCTTTCATGAGGAAATGAAGGGCACTGCAATTTCTGATGGCTCAACATCAGATCCCTTTGACATTCGAAGTGGAGTGAAACAGGGATGTGTCCTGACACCGACTTTGGTTAGGATCGTTTTTGCTGTCATGCTGAAGTATGCTTTTGGAACTGCAACAGAAGGTGTCTATCTCTGGACTAGATCAGATGGAAAGCTCTTTAATCTCTCTGGATTGAGAGTAAAGACCAAAGTCCTGGACCCTTTGTGCATGGCAGGAGAGGAAGTTGAACATGTTCCATACACGTTATCTCCGATGCATTTTTGGTAGTGTATCACCTAGCAGGGCAATGTTCCAAATAGAGTAGTCCTAGAACAAGCTGGAATGTTTAGCATGTACACATTACTGAAACAGCAACAGCTATGTTGGCTTGGGCATGTCGTGAGAATGGCTGATGGTCAGATTCCAAAAGATCTCCTGTATGGAGAAATAGTGCAGGGAAAGCGCCCCAGAAGGAGACCACAGCTGTGATACAAGGATATCTGCAAGCGAGATCTGAAGGCTTTAGGAATGGACCTCAACAGATGGGAAAACTTGACATCTGAGCGCTCAGCCTGGAGGCAGGCAGTGCATCATGGCCTCTCCCAATATGAAGAGCCTCCAGCAGGCCGAGGCAAAGAGGCAGTCCGGAAACCAGCCAAAACAGGGAGCTGGACAGGGGTCAGATTGTATTTGTCTTCAGTGTGGAAGGGATTGTCTCTCTCATATTGGCTTTCTCAGCCACACTAGATGCTGTTCCAAGACCTCTATTCAGAGCACTTTACCATAGTCTCTCAAGACTGAAGGATGCCTACAAGGGCTTCCATATGCATCCAATCTGACACTGCATATTCAGTGGAAAAGAAGGAGCATCTCAGCTTGAAACTGAGCTTGGAAAAGTTACTTTACTGGACTACAACCTTCAAAGGTCACATTGGATGGTGGATTTGGAGGGCTGTAACTTCTCTAAGGGATTCTTAGTATGGTGCAGTGGATCGAGTAATGGACTAGGACTCTGGAGAATAGGGTTCAAATCCCCACTTGGCCGTAGAAACTCAATGTGGGAGTAGAACTGGTAAAACCTCTCCTTAAATATCTCATCTTGGAAACCCTATAAATTAGTGCCGACTTGACAGCACAGAAAACACACAACTTCTCTAAAGCCTGAAAATAAATAGGGGTGTCAGTAAAACAATTACTGTACACACAGCTGCAGTCCAATTATCAAAGGAGATTGTTCCTTTTTTGTACTTTGCAAAGAACATTTTCTAAAGCAGATGTGGGCAAAGTATGGCTTTCCATAATGCTGGTGGGTTATAGCTCCCATCAACCCTGGCCAGCACATCCAGTGGTGAAAGACAGTCAGAGCGGCAGGACAACAACATCTGTAGGCAAATACGTTGCCCACTGTGGAGCTAATGAACTAATTGTCTTGACACTGAGTCTGTTACACATCGTCATTTCTTATCTTGATTTCATACAGACCTTTTATGTTCATGATTGCAGCTTCACAAAGACAGCTGCATACTAACTCCGTATACCTCCACTGGTGGCATATTCAAGTTCCCCTGCTTTCATGAATGATGTGGACAATTATGTGAGCAACTTCTCAACAAAACAAATTATGCTCTTAAAATTACTGGCTTCAATGTATTTCAGCCGGTAACACAATAAATTGGGCCTGGATGTCCCTTTGATTTTTCTCTGCTTCTATTCAAGATGAGAATGGATGCCTAGAAACTGTCAGCACCATTGACATTTTTAACAAAAACTTGAAAATACCCTTGAGTGTCCATACATTTCTTTGCATCTAATCATCAGCAGATGTACTAGATAATTGAACAATTCTTGCTGACAAATTATATTTGTTTCCCCATCTCCACCTATTTACACTGACACCATTCAGAATGAACAAAGGAGAAAGGGAACTCTCATCATACTGCAGGGGGCCCCTGCACTGCTGATTTGTTCAATTTGTTTCCAGGAAGCACATCATTAAGGCATTACTCACCATGTTTGCTAGCATCCACCTGTGGCCTGCCAAGGACCTATGTACTTGGCAAACTCTCTAGAGCCAGGATGGCATAACACAAGTTAAATTTTTCAACAGTATTAGATATTGTTGTCTAATGGGCTCAGCCAGTTGTGTGTCAAAACCAAAAATGTAAATACTCAACGAAAAGGTGGCATGCATGGAGAAAGTTATCTAAAGACAACACAATTTTCCATGTTAAGTGTGTACATTCAATACATTCAAATATATTACAAGTTTTTAAAATATATAAATAAATGTTCTGGTGACATATGATGTAACATAAGGGATCCTCACCCCATGATTTTGAGGTGAGCCCCCTCTTGGAGCACAGGCTCCCTGTGTTAATAGTGATCCCATCAAACTGTTATATCACCAGCATTAGTCAGTTGACGTGGAAAATTAAAGACTGGCCACATTCCTCAGCATTACACTAGGACCCCCATGTCTGCAGGGGATAGGTTGCAAGCCTTCCTGTGGATGCTGAAAACTGTGGATAATAGCAAACACGACATATAGCATGGTAAAAGAAAAAATCCAGAAATATGTATTATCACCATATATTACCAGAACTGGCCAATACAGGGAGTCAGAGACTACACTATGCATTATTTTACAACAAAAATACATTACAAGGTATCTGACCCCATGTACTGTATGTTGTGCCCAGTTCTGATAAATACATCATGAAAATATGTATTTCTAGGGTTTTTTCTTGTAATATCTTTAACATATTCAGACTGCAGTAAGTGAAAACGTGGATATTGATCCTGCAGATACAGGGGTGCTACTGTACAGTGGGGTCTTGATTTAAGAACGGCTCGAGTTAAGAACATTTTGACTTAAGAACCACTCTCATAGGAAAATATTGACTTGACTTAAGTACTTAGATTTGAGTTAAGAACTGAAAAAAAACCACGTGGGAGGCAGGGAAAGTGCAAAATGTGAACTTTCAGTTAACTGTTGGCCAGTGAAAAGGGTGCCGGTCTGCTTCCTCACTCCTCCCAGCGTTTAGAGAGTGGACTGGGAGACAGTCTTCAGACTGCCTGGTACTGTACTGCCTGGACTGTATTTTCCCTGCCTTCCTTGAACCTTTCTTGACCTAAGAAAAAAAGAAACAAAATACCCCCTCTAGTGGTCGAAGGCGGAATAGCAGCTTCCCAATAGTTTCTATGGACGGAAAAGAGCAGATACGGATCAAATGGTTTTCAATGCATTCCTATGGGAAATGCAGATTTGACTTGAGAACTTTTTGACTTGAGAACCGCCTTCCAATACGGATTAAGTTCTCAAGTCAAGACCCCACTGTACATAGAAATTGGGAAGTGGAACAGTGGGAACCACAGCCGCCTAGAGTGGTCATGACTGACCAGATAGGCGGGATATAAAACAAACAAACAAACAAACAAAAAAACAAACAATACATTCAGATAAAACAGAAGTGGGCAATTTCTTGGCATCAAGTAGCCAGATTGATCTTTTAGAATCCTCAGGCTGCACCATCACTGAAACTGAAATGAAGGCATGAAAGACATTTTCTGTGGTCATGGTCTAACCCTGGGATTGGCATTGTAGTCTTGTAGGTGCCAGGTTAAAACATCTTATTTCCCTGGGCATTAAAACTGTTTTTCAGTAGCATTGTTTTATTTCACTGATGAATCGTTTGTGTGCTCTTATTCACTTTAAATGTATTTTATTGTTGATACAGCGGACCCTCTACTTATGGAATTAATTCGTATTGGAATGGTGGCTGCAGGTCGAAAAGTCTGTAGGTCGAGTCTCCATTGACCTACAATGCA